ACAGTGAGACTCTGTCTCAAAAAAAAAAAAAAATTCCAAAAGTATAAAATCATAGATAGGGAAAGCCTTCCTCCCACTCACCTCCCAGCCATCCATCTTTTCCTGGGAGCCATCAGTTTCTTGAGTGTCCTTCCATGGATATTTTATGCAACAACGTTTATTGATTTGAATTACATTGAATTGCAGAGTGCTCACCGTTGGCTACATAAGTGTACCTGATTTGTTTTAGATCACCAGCACTCCCCTAAGATTGGATCTCCTGGAAATCACAAATCTCCTTCGAGTGCCTTATCTTCAGTCTTACATAGTATTCCATCAGGGAGGAAACAGAAAAAAATCCCAGCTGCTCTCAAAGAAGTAAGTGTTCCCATTAAACTTGCAATATGATAGAAGCTGAATTATTCATATGCATATAATACATTGTTTTTCTTTCATAGAGGAAGATGTCATTCCCACTGCTATTAAGTCATGAATTTTAATACTGATGATGGATGTGCCTGATGACTCACAATCTTGCTTGGTCTCCCTTCTGACCCGAGCCATTTAGAAAATGGCTATTGAAAGGTTTAGTGAACATTTAATGGCAATGATAGAAAGTAAAAGATAAGTTGGGCACACATGAATTTTTAAAATTACTTTGAGGAGGCCCCTTACCACAGGCAAGAAGTCCACAGAATATTTTGGGCATTTTGTTAGCATTTACTGATCTGCATAGTTTATTTGTAGGCATTGGTTAGTTATATGAGGGCTGTCTGGAAAGTATCCAGCCGTGTAATATGTTCTCATTATATTAACAATAGCTGGATACTTTCTGGACAGACCTCGAATACAGCTGATGTCACTGATAGTAGGTTATTTTTCCTTTAAACTTAAAGAAAATTTTAAACAGTTGTAATAGCCTTCATGCTTAGACCTGCTAATGGTGTAATCCACAGGCATTGTTAATATCCTATCCCAGTTCCTCAAATTTAAGTGTTAGTCAGCAAGCATCAAAGAGCAGATAGCATGGCCATTCTGGCCACTGCATTATGATTAGTTAATTAATTAGTTCACCTGTGCTAGTTTTATGGCCAACAGAGTAAGGTTTTAAAGTTGGTTCTCTTGGTTAGTTACTATGGAGATGTTCTCTCATGCAAAGTGGAAGCAAACAACTCTAAATATTTGACCAAGATCACATTTCTTACATAAAGTTAAGAGTATATTCCCAATGAAATAGTATGAAGTGATTAATAGCCAATCTCATGAAATAATAAGAATAGGACTGAAAGTTCTAATTGACGAGTTTTATATGAAACGTTAAGCCAATTTAGTCTCTGCTCTGAACTGTCTCTTCCATCCCTCAATTCTAGAGTCTTAAGTCTGCATTCATAACTTTCAGGTTCTTAATCAACTGAATTGGTTCTCAGTTTTCTATACTTTTTTACCACTTTACACCA